TGAAGTGCACTTGAACTTGGCTGATTTCTTACCCCTGAACATTCTCAATAAGAAGTTTCAAAAGTCCTTCCTATACAAACATAAATATGAAACATGAATTTTGAAATCCATCAGGAGTAAAATATTGTAACACACATTCATCAGGAGGTTTTCACTTTTGTTCATATTACCTCTATATGCATCAGCAATGAAAAAAAAACTAAAGTCAACTATAGAGATGCTGCTCAGCAGCAGCTGGGACTGCTCTGTGTGAAAAACTGAGTTCAGGATGATTGCTGTGTCTGAAAGAAACACATCCTTGGAATTATATGCAAATTTAAAACAGTGACTTGGAATGTACTTTGCTCACAGGATATTTTCTCAGATATCCCATGAGTATGAGCACCTTCATCCCACTTTTTGATAATTTATGCATATGATAGAATATACAGGAGGGGGGGGCAAAAAGTTCCAGAAATCCTTTCCAAAATGAATAAAGATGAATATATGATTCATTGAAAGCTTTGAGATTTTTGTGTTTTTTCATTTTCAAAACTTCATATGTCCTCGTTGTTGATTATTAAATTCTGGGTTGGTATAGTGCTAATTGGAATTTTTATAAGACTTTATCAAATTACTGTATTTAAGTTTATGTATTCTTGTGTTCCTTATTGTTTCTTGAATTCAGATTATTTTCAACACATACATTTGAACATCATTCATGCGCTCTCAATTGATATGAGGACGACCTATTTATTGAAAATTTTTCAAGAGGAAATGAAGGTGTGATGGGAATTTTCTGAATGCCCCAAGCACAATAAGGGAGGAATGGTAATGTTGCTGGTGCGTAATTCAGAAGTCCGAGTTCCTGTCTTTTATTCAAGACACTGAAGATCGTGTGTCCAAAATGTAATTCAACACTTGTTTGCTGTTTTGAGCTTCTGTGCAGCGGTGTCCGTTGGTGCCTGGCACTCGCCACTGTGTCACGAATTGGTGATATTGCCATTGAAACCATTATGCTGTTATCCACATAGCAATAATTCTGCTGCAACACTTTTTTTTTAATTAGGCATTAAGAGTAAAGGTGAGCATATTTGCATCAGTTTTTCTTTTGCTTTGTGTATGTGCAGGCATACTTGTATGCTGCCGGTTGCATTTATTTGATAGGATGATACATATAATATACTGCTGTACCTGTATATATGCAGTCCAACCTCTATTCAATTCAAACTTATAGTTGGGAGTTAAAATATTACGCATCAAATTTTACAAGGGAAAGCAGTATGTTGTGCTGCATGGTGTTTTTTTTTTCTTAAGACGTTCTCTCATTTTTACTCCCAAAATATGCACCCATAATATTTTTGACAACCTAAACTGTCTTTCCTATACGACTTTTAAGTCTCCGTTCGTTTTGTATGTTCCCACCCGCAGAAAAAAGTTAACTGATTTTTGACTTGAAATATCTTGGTAGCAAATTGAACTGTGGCAATGAAAAAAACGCCAGCACATGAAACCTAATTGTTCAATTCATTTTCAAATGATTTACAGTTATCCTAAGTGCCACAACATATACTGTACTGCCACAGCAGTGCTGGTTTACAAGAACCCCTTGAATGAAAACTAAAAAATAAAATAAAATAAAGTAAACAGTCAGTAGGCAACTTTTCCCACTAAGCTGGTGCTTTGGAGAGCTATCATTTGCATGAATTAATTAAATTCAGGATGCAATAATTTAGCCTGAAAACTTCATGCTGTCTTGCTGCTGGAGAGCCTGCAAATGTTCCAAAAATTCAGAAGCACCGGGTGATGAATGGGGGATGACTTGATTGCTCAAAACTTGTTCCACTCAAAATCAGTTTAATTCAGAATCATTTTTATTTGAAATCAGTTTTGGAAATCTAGTCATTCAGAAAAAAGGTGCATGCATCATGTGCTGCCATATACATTCACAGCAGTGCAGCATACATCATCCCTGGAATTTGGGACGTTGGGTTGAGAAGTTCGAACCAAAAAATTGAGAAGTGAGATCTATTCCTCCACTTCAAAATCCTGATTCAAGCTTGCTGGGTACCAGCCTCGTGGCTGCAGTCTCATACACATTATAAAATGCATGTTTGGTGCGTGGAAGACCTGCAGGCACATGCATGCTGTAGAATGTGTGCGGTAAATGATGTGTGAATCCCTGTACAGTACGCTAGTATTGTACTGTGCTGGGGATCAGCATTGTAGACGTTGCTAGCTGGCTCCTTCTCTTCAGTTTCGGAAGGAGCGACTTCGATTACTAGTTGTAAGTAATGGCTCCTTCCACGGGAGGTGCCGATCGACTGGATACGGAATCAAATAAAATTTAAGAGAGGATGAGGGTTCTAGCTCCAGCTGAGCAAATTTGAATGAAGAATTGAACGTGTTCGTATGTTCCCGGCTGGACCACTTATTGTGCTGTGCCTGAGATTACGTTGTTAAGTGTGCCTGTGTGTATTTTTCAGGATCCACTTGCTCTTGTGCATTGTGTCAGTCGCGTGTGAGGCAAGATGAAGGCTTCTGGTGATGTAAGTGATCAACCTTATTGGTTTTCTGTGTGCCCTGGGTAATAATTTTCGTTTGAAACAGTTGAAGGAGTATGAAATCGTCGGGCGGAGAATCCCGTCCGCGAAGAACCCGAAGCCTCAGCTGTACAAGATGAGAATATTTGCCCCCGATCACATTGTCGCAAAGTCTCGCTTCTGGTACTTCGTGAAGAAACTAAAGAAGCTGAAGAAAGCCAATGGCGAAATTGTCGGCCTCCAGAGGGTATTGTCATTCGATTTGATGATCCTTTATGGGTATGAAAGTACTTAATTATTGCCTTTGACACGCAGATTCGCGAGAAGAACCCTTTGAAGATCAAGAACTTCGGAATTTGGCTGAGGTATGATTCCCGTTCGGGTACCCACAACCAGTACCGGGAGTATCGCGATGTGACAGTGGCTGGGGCTGTGACTCAGTGCTACCGTGATCTTGGTGCGCGTCATCAAGCTAGGGCTTCGACTGTCCAGGTAAACGAAATTTTCTTAGATGAAGCTTGTCAGTTACTAAGTGACACCGTTTTTATTTTGTCTAGATTCAAAAAATCCAGCTGGTTAAGCCGGCTGACTGTCGTCGTGCTCACGTCACCCAGTTCCACGACAGGAAAATCAAGTTCCCGCTGTTGAAACGTAGCAAGCGTGACTTGACGTTGAATCCATTCACGACTCGTCGCCCTCACGTTAAATTCATGCAGTAGAGAACACTTCGCGGTCGCTTTACGAAAGTTTTCGATCGGAATAAAAAAGCCCGCGACGAAATGCTGGTTCTTTCTTGGAGTTGACCAATTCGTGTACTTGTTGTGCCGTCGTTGGGAATAATATTTTCTGCAATTTCAGTGATGATCGGTTTGAAATACTTTTTCATCTACGACAATTTGTACCAGTCGGTTCTCAACGCCAGTCAAGACGATGACGATGGCGCGAGTTTTAGTGACGATCCGAGCGGAGTGTTGCCTTATTTCTATCCCACATACACACCTACGGACACGAAGGTCTTCCTTACCGGTCAGATAGTTGGCGCTTTGCAAATCGCTGCCGTTTTGGCCTCTTCGCGTGTTCGGCGTTTGTCCTTAGTTAATGAAGAAGTTCTCGTTTGGAGATTTCCGCGATGCCTTATGGTAAGGAATGAGCTTTTAGCTAATTGTCTTCTTGTGTTCGAAGTCATTAGGATGTTGATCGTGCATGCTTACCTGATTTGTTCAACTAGAGGACTATCGTCGAAATAAAACTTTTGAATTTCGCGTCTTCTCGTGATTCCTTGATTATTCTCATTGTGTGTGTTCGTCTGTTGGGCTCAAGTAAATTTCTCGGTTGATTTCCCAGTATCCGCACTTGAGTTTTCAGTACTTCACTCGAGAACCAACCGGAAACGTTTTTAATGTACTCCTTTCGAATAAGATCCGTCTGATCTCGACAGTTTAGATTTATCGAATTTGATCTCATTAGATTGGGATGTGTGTGTAGGTGCTGTGCTATGAAGGTGCGCTTCCTGTGGAAACACTGGAGATGCACTTTCATCCTCTGGTGGAGTCCGCCGCATATTTCTATTTGTACCAAGTGGTGAATCGTAGTGCCTCGACACCACCGCCGAGTGCCAAAACGCTGCCGGAATTGGATCTCGGTTATTACGACTTGCCATCTGCTCCGTTTGACACGCATCAAGTTTCAGAAAACGTGTTCATACCCGCCATTTACTCGACGTCTCCAACGGAAGAGGAGGTTGTAGAAGCGACGAGCGTGTTGGAGACGATACAACCGCTGAGGTTGAGTGACGAAGACAAGCAGGCTGTTGATGGGTTTGTGTTCACTGTCGCGAATCTGCTGCAGAATCTCTGTTCGACCCTCAGGCCGGAGATGACTTTGTTGAATCTCTCGAGGGTGAGTGCTAGGGTGCAGGAGGAAAGCCCGCGGTTCGGAATTCCCGTGGGGACCTTGATCCTGTCGACCTCAAAATCTTTTGAGGTACAAAAATCCCGTGTAATACGAAGTTGCGATCGTGTGTCTGGGTTTCCCCTCAACTTTTTGACAAAGGATGAAGAATTCCATGGATTATGGAATTTTAAAGAGGTTTTTGTGTTTTCCTTCCAACGGTTTTCAAATTGAAAGTTTAGGATTAACTTTCTCTTGAGAGAGGAAACTTTAAAATATCTGGCCTTCAATTGGAGCCTACATCCGTGCATTTATTTTGAATATAAACTGTACTTTTCAGATGAGTATCTGATTTCAACTTTGCTTCTGAAGAGGGAAACTTGCTTCAATTTGCTTAAGCACATTTTTTTGCTTTGAGTTAGCTTCAATTAAAAGGTTTGGCGGAAAGAAATTTTCTGCTGTAGTTATCGATATTCATACAGTATTTCTGATGAATGCATGAATTCATGTTTCGGGATTTTCGTACCCCGCGAGGTTTTCAGGTCTACGGGATTTTCTCATGGAACCGAGTGCGAAAAGTTGTTTTTTGCGTTGTTGACCTATGACGAAATTGCTTTTTTGGCGAGTTATCGAAATATATCTCGTGTGATTCGTGTCAGTTGAAGGTTGGATGATCAAAGCGACGAGATTTTTGAATCCTCTTGAGTGGCCGGATCCTGTGGAAAACAGTTCTGTAGAAGAAATCATTTGCAAATTTCGAGGCCTACATTTCAGACAGAATTTGGGTAGAACTTGAAAGTATTTGGCGTAAGGAAGTTTTCAACTTACAGATGTACAGATTTATGTTCAGGATACCTTAGTGTTAGCTCTTTATTTTCTGTGGAATTAATGGTGAAATAGTTATTCATGAATTGTTCGACTCTTCCTTCGGATCATGAAAACTTGAACTTCTGAATTCGGAAGTTGACCAGAAATTCAAAGAGATTGGAATTTCCTTGTCATGAGGCATGACTTCTGGACCTAAGTTACTAGTCTCAATTACAAACTGTCTTTACTTTTTAGAGTGGTAACGACGTGTTCGTGGAATCTCAAGAGCTTCTGAGCAGAATGCGAAAAGATTTTGGTGCAAATGGAGGCGCTTTGTTCTTTTCGAAGCGGTAAGTTTACTGTCGAAGCATTTGAAATAACTTGCTAACTTATTCTTTTTCGGTGAAGGTTGGTGACGAGTACCTTGGGTGTGGGCATCACGAAATTAGTGGCCCTGGTCGACCTGAGTGCACTAGTCCCCGCCGAAGTCTGTGTAGCTCCTGGAAAATCAGCGGGAAACCGATTGGGAGTTTACCGGGTTCACGTGAGGAAAGAATCCGTTGGTGAGGACTGTGTCGTGGAACATCAACAGTCTGAAAATACTACAGCTGAGAAAAGTCCTGAGAAGCTTTCGGCTGCTACTTTACGAGCGATGTCGAAAAATGGGTCTTTGACAACCAATTACTGGCGATTGTTGAAGCGTGTGGAGAAGCGGAGAATTAAACAAGCGTCGAGGTGGGTTCTTCAGGCACACCTTTGATACATAGGTTCAGAAAAAGGAGGAATGTGTGGAAGTTGAAGATGACTTTCATACTCTGCCCCTGATTATAATCTTAATTCAGTTTTTGGCAGGGGTTCAAGTTTCGAGACAAAGTAAAGTGTTAGTACCAAAGTTGTTGATGTCCTGAATCTCCTGATACTCCTGACTGAAGTGGTTGAAAGTGCAAATTTAATTTCAGTGTCTGTTTTTCATGATTAATTGTCTAAACTTTTCAGGAAACGAGATGAAGGGCAAGGAGGCACGAATCTGACGAGGAACGAAGACCTTGGATCTTTCGAGGACATTCCGCTGAGTGCAGCTTATTGCGACAATTTAGATGACGAGGCTGAGGGAAAAGATGTGGAGGTTGACGACGAAGACGAGAGTGCAGCCGACAGCTGCGACGAGGACGATAACGAGTACAAACCAGCGTTCATGATCACGTACCGCGTGGAAGACATGGAGTCTTTCTTTCTCTGTGAGAGAGTGCCTGAGAACCTTACCAGGATGGTGAGTTTTTTTCTCGATATTCTAGTGGAATTATTGCGAGGGATGACTCGGCACTTTTTCTGTACTTCTTGAGTGGGTGTCGGAATTTTTGTCCGGAGAAGTATGAGAGAGATTTTCCTGCTCGAAACTGAGGAGGGACTTCCGAAAATTTTCATGTTTTATTTTTCGTGCAATTATGAATTATTTCATGTTCTAACACTCTGCTTTTCTGCAGGCTGAAGTGCTGCACAAGGCGTTGGGAAACCTGGAGGGTTCAATCTGGTGTCGGGTGAAAATGACTGCGACGGGTAATGGGTTAAAGTCGAACAAGTTCGGTTGGTTCCAGTGGGACAGGCAATGGGGATCTGCGATTCAAGACGGGAAAATCGCCGCAGACCAGAGAGATGCCTTGCAGCTGGTGAATCATCAGCTTTCTTTGCAGCCGTGCGATTTCGAGGACTGGCACAGTGAGGATGATGATGATGTTATTCAGGAGCTCTTATGCAGGTATGCATCTCGAGAAAAACTTTCGAATCACGAAGAATTCGTCTCTTGATTTCGGATTAATTATCACCGTGTCTTTTCATCGACTGCTAACAGAAAAAAAAATCAGTTGAAAGAGTTGATTGTTACTCGTTCTGACGTGCTGAAAATACAGTACTGTATTTGAAATTTCAATTATTAATTTTGTGCACAATATTGGAAAATTATCGCCAAAGCACGAAATTTTTGTTCAAAGTTAATTTTTTGAGTTTTCCTCGTATCATTTCTAACTTTTCCCAGCCGCATCTGTTTCTGATAGGATATATTTCGTGAACGGATCAACAAAAGGAGGTAAAAATAGACAATCTGGGTTTCATCTCTATTTGTTATAAACCTTTCTCGGGGAATTCAGTCACCTATGTGAAACACCTCGCGCATGTTCAGTCTTCATTTTTGGGGTTGTGGTTTTTTGTTTTTTTTACAGATCTGGTCAAGACATGATTTACGGAAGACGGTCTCACAGCAGGGACTTGTTTTACTGGAGCGAGTGTCCGGTGCTTCAAACTGGTGCACCGTCAACTACGAGTGCATTGGCTGAGTTTCCTGAACGAGCGAGGAAGCACCTCAAGCGGCTAATTTTGTAGAATTTATTTGAAATTTATGCGGATTTATTTGTCTTGCTTTTGAATATTCCCGGACACAAAAAAGCATGTGATTCAAATTATTCCTCAAACCAGGGAAAAGGGGAGCGATGAAGTCCAACTCTTGTGATTCGTTCCTTCCTGCAGTTTTCGAAAAAACTGGCTGTGTTATTTTTTTTAATGGAAATGGGGACCAATTTCAAGATTAATTCAGGGACTATAATTTTGTCGAGTCAATTAAAGTTTTTTGAACCTTCGATAATTATTCCTGCTTTTACGTGAACGAGATAAAGTTCATATATTGAATATTTGTTTGAATATTCAGAACTGTGTTGGGATCGGAAAGTTGTATGGATTTAATTTTTCGACCTTGAGCAATGGCTACGAATGATGATACCTTCGATCAGGTGAGTATTTTTCTGACAACGAAAGCATTTTTTTTACTGATTTATAATTCTTGATACTTCAGCTCGAAGAAGAGCAGCAGCAGCAGGGATCGACGAATGAAGGGGATCAGCTGCTACCCGGAGATAAGCGAAGAAGACTCTTTTCCAAGGAGTTGAGGTGCATGATGTATGGGTTCGGTGACGATCAAAACCCTTACACGGAGTCTGTAGACTTTTTGGAAGACCTTGTGATTCAATACATTGCAGAAACCGTGAGTTTCTACCAAGTGTGTCTCTTAACCCGATTCAAGTGTGGTGTATATTCTGAACAGACGCAAAAGGCAGCCGAAGTTGGTCGGCACGGGAAAGTGGCCGTGGAGGACATCGTGTATTTGGTTCGCAGAGATGCTAGGAAATATGCCCGTGTCAAGGATCTCCTCTCGATGAACGAAGAACTCAAGAAGGCGCGGAAAGCGTTCGATGAAGTCAAATATGCAGGAATGTGATACTATTTTTCCGAGTGCAAATACAATGTACATTATTTATCACCTTTTTGCGTTTCGAACCTCAGCTGTGTTGTCTTCGGTGTTCCAATTGTTTCTGACGCTTGTTTTCACGTGTCGCAGAAATATCAGCCTTGTTTTGGTGCTTGAAGGCGTAGCGGCTTTTCAGTGACCCCGTTTGCCTTCGTAAGGCGCGCGCGAAATGGACGTCATGGACGGATTGCAAGACGAAGACCAGGAAATTGAAGCTATTAAAGCTAAGGTGAGAAGATCAGTTGTATTTCTGCATCCGGAAAACAATTCTTCTTGTTTTTGTAAGGCGCGCGCGAAATGGACGTCATGGACGGATTGCAAGACGAAGACCAGGAAATTGAAGCTATTAAAGCTAAGGTGAGAAGATCAGTTGTATTTCTGCATCCGGAAAACAATTCTTCTTGTTCAAGTAACTTTGAGGGACCAGCAAAAAAATTCAAACTGGGAAACAATCATTTTATTTTTTCGGGCGGAAAGAAAGAATTCAAGTATACGAGGGTTGTCCCACTTTTACTTGGCCTTGGGGAATTTCGAGACTAGGTACCACTTTTTAAAAAAATGTCTATCATGTAGCCCATGCAATTGTAAGCTTCTGGGATTTTTTTCAGTTTTTTAATGAAAAATTTATAGATTTTCAGCGTGATGATGATTGAAAACTTTCCAGTTAGAGTTCTTCACTCATGTCACAAGCTGTTGAATCTTTTTCAGGCCAGACAAAAGAATTCGAAATTTTTTTGGTTTTTAGCATGAACTTTCCTTCATTTTCTGAAATTTTCGCATTTTTTCAGTGACTTATTTTGTTTGCAACAAGTGCAAATCCAAGTGCATTTTGCAATTTCCTGAGAGCAGGGGTTCATGACCTACTTTTCTGGCTGTGATATTTTTTGCACTACTGTACCTCAGAATTTAATGACCTGAAAAAGTTTGAATGGCTTGTGACCTGAATGGAGAACCCTCACTGTAACTGGAAACGTTTCACTTATCATGCAGTTATTTTTTTTTTATGTAAAAAAAAATATATTAAAAAAAATCCCAGAACCTCACAATTGCATTGGCTACATGATGAAATTTTTTTACGGTGGTATCTAGTCTAGAAATACCAAGGCCAAGCGGAAGTGGGACAACCCTTAAATTGTTATCAGTGATATGGGCCTTGAATTGCTTCTTAAATGAGTTGACAAGATTCTGAACCTAGAGGCAAGAAACATTTGACCAATTAGTTTCTCACTTCCTTTCAAAACAGATTGAGTTACAATTTTCTCTTTCCTGTGAATACAAAATAATAGCCGAAAGTCCTCCAGGAAATCTGAGTTAGGGAGGTTTTCAATTCTTAGTTTTTTTTTTAATCAGTCTGAGATATGAAATTGAAAGGTATTCGAGTTATCGAGGTTTCAAATGTTCATTTGTTGTGTGTTTCAGGTGCAAGAGATGGAGGAGGAAGCAGAGAAGCTGAAGCAGCTACAGAACGAGGTGGACAAGCAGATGCGCGGGGAAACTCCCGGCATGGGCAGTCCATCTGGCCCCACTTTCCAGACCCTGGAGCAGAAGGTGGAGACGGACTCGCGGTCCGTCTACGTCGGCAACGTGGACTACGGCGCCACGGCGGAAGAACTCGAGCAGCACTTTCACGGCTGTGGCGCCGGCGTCGTCCGCGTCACGATCCTGTGTGACAAGTTCACGGGCCACCCCAAGGGTTTCGCATACGTGGAATTTGCCGACAAGGAAGCTGTGAGCAACGCGCTCGCACTGGACGAGTCGTTGTTTCGAGGACGGCAGATCAAAGTGTTGCCCAAGCGCACGAATACACCGGGCATGTGCATGACGAATCGGGGCGGACGCGGTGGTGGCGGCGGGAGAGTGGCCCGAGGCGGCGGAGGGTTTTACTCTCCGCGTGGCGGCTTCTATCCAGCTAGGGGTGGTGGCATGAGAGGCGGTTTCCGAGGAGCCCGTGGTGGAAGACGACCGTATTTCTACGCACCTTACTAATCCTCATTCACGCACGCATCAGCTTCGTCGTCTTCTTCTTCTTCGTCGACCTCTTCTCTTGTTGTTGTGTATTGTATCATCCTCGTCCTCACCTGCAAAAGAGCGAGAGAGAGAGAGAAAAAGGAAGGAAAAGAAATTGTCCCGAGAAGAAGGTTCCCGCAGGACTGAAATAAACGCAAAAAAAATGAACTCGAAGGGGAAAAAATGTTACGAACGCGGGAAAAAAAAGGAGAAAAGAAAATATTCGGGGTCGAGGGCGATGGTTTTTTTCCAATTTTTTGGCTCATTCGTTATTTTTATTTCTTTTGTTTAATCTTCCTTTCTACGTTGGCTGTAACGGGAGCTTTTTTGTGTTCTCTGTTTTTGTTCTCGGTGTTGGATCGTCAGGCGAATTTTTGGGATTTTTGTGTGTGTCTGCGCGTGCGTGCGAGCGAGAGAAGACCCGAGAAAGATGGACGTTGGGGCTTTTGGAGCAGGCAAAGCTGGGATGCCTTTTGATCCCATCAAGTTTGTGCAGAGGCCGCAGACCATTGTTCGCTTTCTCTGTTGGGTGAGTTTCTGTTGATGGAAAAATAATTGGTCTCTTCTCCTTTTTTTTTCATTTTATTTTTACCCGGAAAAAATCGAGTCTTCAGGGCTTTTGAGTTGGATCTGTCTTCATTCATTCGAGAAAAATTGTAGCATTGTAGTGAGGCCAAAAAAAAGCGTACGAATTTCGAGGTGAATCGGGTAAATGCCATCGCAAAATCTGATTATTTCTTGTCGTACCTCTTCTCGATTTCTGGGCACCTCGTATTTCAGGTTTTTTTGTGCCCTGAATGTAACATCGAGCTTTTTTTTTATTCAGTTGTTTGCGATCATCGTGTTTGGTTGCATATCCTCGCAAGCGTGGAACGAAAAAGAGGACGGCACGGACGTCTGCATTATTGGCGATTCGAGAAATGCTTGCAATTACCCAGTTGGGATCGGTGTCATCGCATTCCTGGCCTCGATGGGTTTTCTTGTTGGGGACGCCATGTTTGAGCAGTTCTCCAGTGTGAAGACGCGCAAGCATTACGTGCTTCTCGATCTCGGGTTCTCTGGTTAGTTTTTTTTTTTTTTTTCTTCGGAATGAGACGTTTCGTAGTTTGGAGTAATGATTTTTATTGTACGCGATTCTTCTGCAGCATTCTGGGCATTCTTGTACTTCGTCGGGTTTTGCTACGTGGCTAGCAAATGGAGCAGCAGTCCATCCCCACCTGGAGGATACGGCACGAGTAATGTGAACGGAGCCATTGCTTTCCAGTTGTTCTCCATCTTCACTTGGGTCAGTTTACTTTTTCATCGAGGTTTTTTCGTATACTGCGCAGTAATTTTTGGCTCTTGACTTGCAAGATCGGCTTAACTGCTTAACAAACGGGTTTATTTCAGAATCGTTTCGAAGTGTTGGAATAAACCCGATGTTATTCTGGACGATTTTTCCTATTTTTCATCGTGAATTTTCAAGTTTGGATCAGTCAGTGGGGCTGCAAATCTTGGGAGAAAACGAAGGTTTTATGCGTTGATGCTTGAAATTCATGTCAGTGGAGAGTAGAAAGTGTCGAGTACAGTATGCGACGAGAACCTTGCATTTGTTTCATGGTATGCGAGCTGATGGTATTACTGTATTGTATAATACAGTATGGTACAGTAGAACACCGTTGGAATGAATAATCGATTACTATTCAGTCGTTTTTAAATCCCTGTCCAATGGTCATATTATCCTTCGAAAGGAGTAATTTTACTGGTGCCAGTTGCTTCGTTGTGCCGAAGAATTCTCCATGGCATTTCACATTTACAACATGCCGAGCATCAGAACACAGGTTGAATCGCTGACTTTGATTACATAATATGCCTCACATTCATGCTGAGAAGAAAATTGTAGACGTTGGTTTTCATTTTCCGCCTGTTTTTTTTTTTTTTCAGGGGGCCTGTGCGTGGTTCGCGTACACTCGTTATAAGCAAGGATCAGATTCCGCATTTGCGCCAAATTATGATGCCGAAGGTGTTGGTGGCGTTGGCGCTCCGTACTCGTATCCTGGTGCAGCAGATCCCATGGGTGGTTATCAGGATCCTCCTTTCTCCGGCGGGGATCCCAAAGGTATATTTTGACACATGAGGACTTGAATGTGTTAATCGATTGTCTTTTCCGGATACTGTACGTGACTATTCTCCGTCATTTTCAGGGCCTGGAGTGAGTGGACCCTATGGACAAGCGCCTGCTTACTAGAAGCAAAACTACTGATGCCTTATGACGCGAGTAGCAGGCGGGAAACGCGTTTAATCGGGGGAGAGGAAGAGGATAGTTGCATTCCATAATAATTGTTTCTTCCTCTTTCTCTGTGGAGGAGGATTGGGAGGTTTTTCCAAAAGCTATAGACTGAGGCTGCAAGCAAATGGGCTGAATGCGTTAATGTTGGAAGTCAGGGTTTATTTTTATTTTACGTTGTTAGAAATAATGCGGCGAACGGAATTATTTTGTTGTTGTTTTGTTTCAGTAATGTTCTGTGTTTGGGCAATTTTCCTCGCTTAATTTAGCTTTGTGTTGCATTCGATTCCATTTTGTGGGGGGGGGGGGGAACTTCACGACGAAGTCGTTGAGAGGTTTTGAGACTGGGATTGTATGAGGTAGAAAGGGCGAAGGCGTTTCGCTTGTCAAATCTGGAAAATTGAAAATTCCATCATTGAGACCGCTGCAAAAAAAAAGTTAATGATTATCGAGCTGTGTCAAAGCGAAAGGGAAAACATTAGTCATCAGCGAATTTGAGATCGTATTAGTATCGTTCATTCCTGCAACCGAATGGCCTCGACTTCCATCCTAATATCAGGTAACTTCGGGATATGTTACTTCGAAGTGATCAAAAAGGTTGAGATAACGTGTCTGTGTTTCATCAGTTTTTAAGATCTCGTTCATGATGCGTTTCGAGTCCCGAGTTTTCATGGTCCCGCCTTTGTCAAGTGGGAACTTCGGTGTTCACTTAACTGCGATTGAACTCGAACGGTTTTATTTTATTTTTTCTTTTGAAGCAAGCAATTTTTAGGGCATTATAGAGCAACGGTAGTAATTATCCTGGGTCAGGGCGACAGTATTGGGGAAGAAGCTTGCCCACCTTCTAGGTTAGAAATGCTCTGTGTTTTGCGCATGGCTGCCATATCAAAGAGACGAAGCGCAGGTTTTTTTTCTAAGGGTGCGTGTGGTCTAGTCAGGGTTGGTGGAGATTGAGGCAATACCTAAAGAAAGGAAAGAAATGTCAGTGTGGTTGATAGGATTTCTTTAATCGTTTATTTTTTTTTATGAGCACCGAATGTGGGGACTTAGTAACACTTAATTCTGTTAGTTTCCAAGATGCTTGACTGGTATTTGGCCTGAAATGTTTCATTAGCCTGCGTTTGATTCATAGTGAAGTTTCCGTTTGAGTTCCCCAGGAGTTTTCTTCCTGGAGGAGCGAAATTTCAAGTGGTCTTCATTCACGTTGAGGTAATTTATGTTAATTGCTGTCCTGAGATTTTGACTTGTTCTCTACGTTGTCAATGGAAGGGTAATTAAGAGAGATGTTGAACTGAGGTGCCTATTCTCAACGTTTGGATAGGTTCACATCTTGTTGCAAACTGGTTCTTAAACAAATAGTGCGTTCAAGTCCAATTCCAAAATTTGTTTCACCTTGAGAAATTGTAGCAATTGAAGGCTTTTTTCATTTGCAGAAATTGCCTGAGAATGAATCTCCCTGCTGAGGAGAAAATTGTACTTGAACGTACTGTTTTGGGCAGTTCTGTTGTTCAATGTGGAAGGAAGGTGTGTTGTTTAATTGTTGTTGGGTTTCTGATTCAGTCCTTTTTCAAATTCTGCTGGAGTTGTGCAAATATAACCACCATGGTATCAGTTCTTGGAATTTGTTGCATTTATTCGAGCATTCATGTGCTTCTGTCTGTCTATAGCATGATTGTGCGTTTCATGGATGGATGGAAGAGTCAAGAATTAAATTTCCCCTGATTTTTGCACAGTTGGGCTTTGAACGCGTAACTTCAGATGTTCGTTGCACTTCTTGTTGGGGATGGGATCCTGGAGGCACCCAGTTCACCTCTTCACAATTCTGTACTTCTGGAAAGAAAGAAGTTGGTACCTTCTCCAAAGTTCAGTCATGTCTGAGGCTCATCTAATTTCAAGGCATGACAGCGATAGAAAATGCCTAGCACTGGAAAGCCAATCGTAAGGCGACTTAAATTAGTTTTCTAAGAAAAAAATTAAACATGGAGGGGCTCGGGTTTGAGTTAACCATGCCAAATGTGAACTGTGATGGTGCCTCAAAAGCTTGTTGATGTTTGATTGTGTCTCCACGATCCACCACCCTCGCCCTGCACGTTTGTTCTATAGCGACACCTACGTGACACATTTTAATGTACTGTACAGAGTTCGAGCATATCTGTCAGTTACTCCACTGTGTGAGGAATGAGGATTCCATGAGGAAGCCGCAATCGGAAATTCCGAATTGAGTTATGTGCGAGTGAAGTCTTCAGTGACGCACTTGGTTGTTCGGGGCGGTATTTCCCGTGTGCAAATATTTTGTGATTTGATGTCGTGGATGCATGTTGCGATGTGCATTCGTATCGTTGAGGTTTTCGATTTTCTCGACCGGTGTGGCAGGCAGGGCATATTCCTCCTGCAGGGGGATTACGCTTTGCCTGGGGAGTATGCCCTGCCTGCCACACCGGCGAGATGGGGCTTCACCTACACCCGCGCCCCGTGAGGAGAAAGTGAGGTCTCTGATGAGCCGTTCGAGTCCGTGCGCTAAGAATACCGTATATTTGTCCAGCAGCTTAATACAATCTAAGAAATTTTTTTTGTGTATGGGCGTCTGATAATGTTGAAAACTCAAGTGCACCGTATACGTTGTAAGTGGTGCATTGTTTGAGTTCGTGTTTGTTGCATTGTTGTGAGTCTACGATGTGGAAGGCTTTTACCAAAATTGGCCTTATCTGCGATGTCAAATTTTATTTTATGCAGAGATCACCCCGAAGATGAACGAGGAATCTGAACTTCCTGATGCGCACTCCGAGTCACCCACGACATTGTCTCGTGGTTCCTCTCGATCCAAGGAATCGGAATGCAAATCTTCGTCAGGAGGCCTATTGCCATGGGATCAATTTTGCAATTGGGTCCACTGTGTTTGTGTCGTGACTTTTGATCTTGAATTGGGCCAAGCCATGGAGGTGAATACTGGCTAGATTAGTCTGTGAAAATCGGCGTGTAAACCTTCTCATCCTCTATTCAGTTCATGTACCCGGCTCACGTTACCTTGAATGAAGAAGAAAAAATGAACGTGTGTTACTTGGCTTTCCCGGACTCTAATTCTGGACTCATGGGTGACACCATTTACCATTTTCGAATCCAGAATTCGAATGCAAAGCAGTTCAGCGGCCCCTTTCTGGAAACTTTCGACCGTAATTGTCCCGCCCCGCTCCAGTGTTCGCCGTCTCATCTCCACGGGTTTGTATATTTTCGGCAAGTGAAGGACAAAACGCTTCCACGGAATTATTTTCAAAAGGTAAAGTTTGAATTATTCGTCAAGTCAGTTCATTGGATGAATTTCGTATTTCTAGTCGGTGGTTCTTCTAACGCGATTGCCGTTTATCGGTGTATTCAACCGAGTCATAGAGGTTCTCGCCCCGTGCTTCTTCGATGATGGCCAGGAAGTTCTGGAGAAGTTTTGTAGAGAAGTGGACAAGTGGCCAACCCCACTACCCGGGGACATTCTGACTCTGCACTTCCTGGGGGTGGATCTCCAAGTGCGTGATTCCTAACTCTTGCTGATTCTGTACTGTATAATCTTCTCTTCCCATGATACATGGAATCTTCTAGGTCCGCATTCCGTCCCGAAACGACAAGATGGGCAGTACAGTGGCTACAAGCGGAACTGCAACTCCCGTCAAGGATGATTCGGAGTCGAGCAATAGTGAAGGGCTGCCTTCGCCCGCTCGTCCGTTGTTACGATGTGATCCCGGGCTGGTGAATCTCCAAGAACTCGACGGCAGCCTTTTCAACGTTTTCAGCGCCGTTTTCACGCATGTGCACCTCTTGTGGGAGCTGATGATCACTGCGGAGCCTGTGGTGGTCATGGCGCCGACCCCTGCCACTGCCGCCGGTACAGTTCAAGGACTCCTCAGGTAGGTGATCTTGAGGGTTGATTGTTGCTTGTTCGTGTGTCCTCGTCGGTGACGGCCACGAGTGTGGCTCTTGCAGTCTCATTTGGCCGTTGAAATACTGCGCGGATTACCGGCCCTACTTCACCATTCACAATTCAGAGTTCAAGGACCTGACAGCAAAGACGCAGTTGCCGCCACCAATCGTGCTCGGTGTGACGAACCCGTTCTTCGCCAAGAGTCTGCAACACTGGCCGCATATCATCCGGCTGGATGAGATCCTAGGTACTAACCTAGCATGCCTTTTGTGTTGCATATGCAAGCTCAACCGCATTTCATTTATGTTTTGATCGTCTTCGTCAAAGTTGGGTCTCCGTGCAGAAGCAGTGGCAAGCAGAAGCTGAAAAAAGCAACTGCGCTCAAGACACTCAACTCGAAGCCCGGTGTGTACACGCAATACAAGCCTTTTCTTACCAAAGATAAGACGATCCTGAAGAAGCTAGTTCGCGGGTTGCAGACAAACCGACCTGTTCAAGTTCAGAGCGCCCTCTTGCGACGACACCTCATTGAACTCACGCAAAGCTTTATGATCCCGTTGGAACGGTATATTGCCACTTTAATGCCGTTGCAGAAGAGTATTTGTCCCTTCAGAGTGAGTGTTTTATTTTTATTTTTCCAATTTTTTGCGGCTGCTAGTTGAAGTCTACAAATATATTCCCACGGTGATGGAATATTGAAAATTAAATCTGAAGAAATCTAAACATTTTTGGGTCATTGGAATCGAAATGCAGCAAAACCCCATTGTACTGCCACTGTCTGTCTCAGGACATTTTGTGGTGCTAAGCAAGGGTGATACAAAAGAGAGAGATGGGTTTAGTTTTGAGTGGCACCAGAGGCCTATTTTGTATACATTAGTGATCCCCAAACTTTTTTGGCTTGTGGACCAGCATATTTTCATAAATTTTTCTGTGGACCAACAACATTCTATACAATTTTTGATCAGCAGAACTTTTTTAAAAGCCAACCATACAGTCTTCAGAAGTCAGAACAAAACTTTTGATTCCAAAATTGGAGTTAAAAACCAATGAAGCAGCTATATAGTGGAATGTCTTGAAAAAAAAAAAGAAATCTGGGCTTTGAGAAAGATTTCTCAGATTTAAAACTGGAAATAATATATTTCAGTGAGCAGAAATATGTCAAGCATTATTAGCAGAAAAGCCAATTTTTTTTCATCAGATGATTTCAACTGCCTGTGTCTTTCCAAAGTTTTGGATTGCATTAACAGAATTCATTAATGCTTATGATAACCTTTTAATGTGGAAGAAATTTTCCCGAAGACTGCCAAACAAATTCTGTGGACCAGTCCCAGCTTTCAGACCACAAGTTGGGGAACAGTTGCTGACATTATTGTTAGGTCCCCAATTATGATTGGTTAGTCCAAGAGACAAAGCAATATTTTTGAGCTGATAATGCACAGGTTTTGTACTCCCTATACGTATCAAACTTCAAAATTAAATAAAAATAGAATGTTGCACCTTTTTTCTTACAGCCAAAGAATATTGTTTATCACACATCTATGTGCAATGAAAGCAATGGTTCCCAGAAGAGGTCATGGTAAAGTTGTTTGAATTGATAAAGAAGACATTTCATGTATGGAAATGCTCTCTGATACAGATGGCATCCAAATTCTGTCACAAAATTAGATTGAAGATGTTTTTAAATTGCATCATGCATGCAATTTTCCACAAATACCCTCTTTTGGGTCAAATTTCCTGAAAACACAAGTTTCATAGCTTTCCTAGCACCTTACAATTTTAAGGGGCCAAAGGGATTAGGGAAGAGATTGCTCAAGATGAATGTTGAATCATTGGTACAGGGCTGATTGAAACTTCATACAGACAAAAAAACTTCAGTCCCTCAAAGCTGTACCAAGGCCAACCTGAGAAAGATTAGGTCTAGTGATTTTTTTATTGAATGCACTTCTCCATTCACTGCAGTAACAAAATGCTAATTTTTGATTCCCTTTAAAATGTATTTTAAACTCAAGTTTTCTGACATGTGCTAACATTTAGACATCCCCAGTGTTTCCAAAAGGTCATTGTTATAGACTTATAGAACTGTCTTACCGTGAAGCTTTTGTGTTGGAAAAATACAATCTTCCATAATTATTAATGCAAACATGAGACATTCATACTAGTTTTGAATTTCAGTGTTCACATGGACTGTGCTTCTTTTAAAATCTCCACAAAATCTTCAAGTTCAAGCATAAATGTTCATAATTCGTACCCGTTTTTATGCCTTTACAAGGAGTTATGTGTGGCCCAAAGTGAATTGGCCCCTAATCAGATTTTCCCTTAATTTCATATTTGAGGGACATCTGTTCACATGAATAAGCAGTACTATGCTAGGGTGGCACTAAATCAAGGGTTGACTGTATTTTAAATTGTTGTATGTTTTTGAGCATGTGACAAATGCAAAAGCTGTGTCCTTTTGCAAAGTGTTGCTTTGAGAGATAATTTCAATACAGTACTGTTATCAACCGAAGCAGGACATGCTTCATGGCCTGGCTTTAGCTCATTTTATCGTTTGCAGAGAATGTAATGGACAAATCAGGTTATTTTGGTCTGTTTCAGAAAATTAGATGTTGAAACATTTTTTGAGGCCAAAAAGCTCTATTTGGTTTATTAAGAAATATTGTACTGTACAGTAATTTGTTCTGTTTTTGGTACAGATTTAACAAATGAATCATGTAAAAATTATTATACGTGCCGTATTCTATTTTCTCATGTTTCATAATGTCACGCATATCACAGATTCGAGAATTGTAAAGAATACTTGTTAACGGGAAGATACAAGACACTGTAGTAAGTTTTGTGAAATAACCGCTGGCTCTTCTTGAGGACGCCTTCTGCTTTTTTGCTCGCTCCCGTTTTGAATTTGACATTCGTGAGTCGTACTGTATTCCGGTGCATTCAGGCTCCTCCATCACTGCGGCCCTTCAACCCCGACGAGTTCCTGGCGACGCTGGACTCGGCTGGCCCGCAACTGACGACGGGCGTGAAGGGTGACTGGGCCGCTCTTTACAAGCGGTTCTTCCGGTCACCCAACTTCAGCGGCTGGTTCAACGCCCGCTACAAGGAGGTGCACCAGAAGCTGCAGGTGCTGCACTGCACGGCCCTCGCCGAGGCGGACCTCGTGGCCTGGCTTAAGGGCAAGACCGAGGTGGAGATCGTGGACATGTACCTGCGTCTCCAGCTTGAGATGAACAAGTGCCAGCGTCACAAGGACCCACTGCCGGTGCCCGCAGGCACGGCGGACAGTCTCAAGCAGCGCATGGCGGACATTTCCCAGGCTGTTTTGCCGGATCTCCGTTCCGTGCTCAAGATTTCGCCGTCATCCCTTTCGTTTTCCTCCTCGTCGTGATGATCAATGTTTGTAAACGTTGTTTTTCTTTCCATTCATCCGTTTTGTTTTTGGACTCTAACGTTCTCCCTCCCGGGCTGTGAGCTTTCATTCCCTTACTTTTTTGTTTGTTTCTGTTTCATTGATGAACCCATTGAAGCTGTGATTTGACCCTGTTACACTCAAGCGTCGGTTCGATTCCAGTGCGAGTGAGAGATCCTCGGCCGTGGCTCGAATCTCCCTAGCCGATAGTTTCTCAGTGTAAGCCTGCGTGTTTGCGCGTGAACTCAGCTGTAAAATGTGAGTGATCCTTTGGGAACCGTGTCTGTGGACAGCGAAACGAGTGCGTAAATAAACTCGAGTGCTCTTCTAATAAGCCTCCTCTGTTGATTATCGCTGTCCAAGAAGGGATTGGATGTCGAATGACGTCGAGTATTGTCTTTTGAATTATTTCGTGTAAATGTATGTAGATCAGGACCCGGTAATTAAAATGTCGCGGGTTCTCGCAGTTGGAATCTGAGTGGACGTGTTCTGTTTCTCCACTTGTGATCCTGCTTCGGGGTGGGGGTGTGAGTGAGTGAGTTTGTATGACATGACGATGTTGTGCGGGGCGTCAGGATGCCGTATTACATCGCGCTGTGCGGACTTATCCAGTGTGCGTGGGGCCCTGTTCGGGCCGAGTGCCACTGGATTCCGCTCGCGGAATCCCGTGGTGGTTGTGTTTCGACACCAACAGCGGACGTTGAATCAGAGTCCGAGTGGCTACAAGTCGGTTGAAGAGTGGGGACTTCCGGAAACTGTAGACAAACCCGTTGTTGGTAAAGCGAAACCCGTCGTTGGAGGTAGGTCTTATACAGTACTTTTATCGCCATGGTTCATTCGTTGAAAGTCATTTACACGCTTGAAGGCGTCACGGTGCATTACGGTCGTGGATTCCCGGTGATCACGGTTCCGCTGCCGTCGAGGGATGAACGGTGCCAGTTCACCCTGCTGCCGATATCCAACAACGTCGGCGACTTCCTCCGCATGCTCACGCTTGAGGACAAGGGCATTGATCGCGCAGCAGTCTACACTCCTGGTGATTTATTGCATTTATATGCAGCATAAATGTGAAGCAAATATCAGCAAAATTTTTTTTTCTACAAGTACAGTAAAGTATACAACTTTCTTGAAAATATGTGCAGTATACCGCACAGTACAGTACTGTATATGCATACTTGTCTTGGAGGGGGGGGGGGGGTAAATGCGGAAAATATTGATGTAATACACGTTTGAGAAACGCTAAGCAGTATTTCATTGAAAAGTACCTCATCCACGATCGTACCTCGTATGTCAATCTGGTAATGTTCATAAGCACCACTATTCATTTATTCACCAGGAACCTCGAAATGATCGTAAAATTGAAAAATTCACTCGAGAACAATTTTTCTGTTGTGCTGAACAAAGTAAGAACATTTTCGATTCCCTTTTCAATACATTGCAACTCTTGACGCCGCAAACCATTTATGAAAGCAGGTTTTTATAAAATCGTGATTGGGAAGATCCGAGGTGTTCGTTGCATAGGTTGAGGGATTGTCGTTATAAAATGAAATCATGATGAACTTGTTATAAAACCAGTTAACCCGGAAACTTTGTTAGAGACTGCACTGCATAGTTTCGTATACTGTCACTACAAATCGACTGTGACTTGGCGTAATCGCTCGTTTTCGTGTGTAGATGGAGTACGAATCTCTGCTATGACGACGATCGAGGCGTTGATGGAACGCGACTTCGACCTCGTCGTGAACGATGTCCGGTACCGAGTCAATACCCCGGAGAAGGAGCGGCTGTCTCAGGAGCAAATGTCGACGCTGAGTGACGTGCGGAACTTGGTCGCTCAACTCTACGAAGGCCTGCAAGTCGAGCAGCACCAGCTCCTCAAGGAGCGAACTCTGTTGACTCGCCTGGAGACTTTGAAGAAGGACCTGGAGCCGATGGAAAAGGTTTTTTTATTTTTAACAGCGTAGTGAATTTTAGTTTCACGTTGATGTGACCGATTGTACCGTGTGTGGTTTTGAACAGTGCAACGAGGAGATGGCGTTCAAGTCGGAAAGAAGGACGACTGTGCTCACTTGGATGGGCCTGGGCTACATGGCTGTGCAATTTGGTGTGTTGGCCAGGCTGACGTGGTGGGAGTACTCTTGGGACATCATGGAACCTGTGACTTACTTCGTTACATACGGAACTGCCATGGCAGCCTACGCCTACTACGTCTTGACGCGACAGGCGAGTATGCGACTCATAAGCGAAGGAATGCAGTTGGTGTATTTACACTGGCAATACATTATTTATTTTTTTGCATTAGCGACCGGAATTAAATTTTGAATTGTTCACCCGGCTGTCGCCATTCACGAACGCCCTGTGAAGAAAAAAGCAATGCAACACAATTTAACGTGTCGATATTCTTTTGATTTGAGATGAACCCCTTTTTGATGACTGTACAGTACAGTATTCGCGAAAATCGCCCTGTGTGTGTGGCTTCAGCTGTAATCTGAAGTTTAGAATCAGTTCCGGTCGTTGTTCGATGAGTCTAGTTGAAGATACTAACCCATAGTCCCAAGTCCACGAAGCCATATGCAACTTTTCTGCGAATAATTCGGAGATTAGGAACACGCTACAAGCGTTTCTCTTCCCCCTGGGGCAAGAGTTATTCCGCCTTCGTCGTCATAAGTTCCCTCGGAAGTGCGTGTTCTGAACTTATATTTTCTCTTCACTGCAGGAGTATTTGTTGCCGGATGTCCGCGACCGACAATTTTTGAATTACTTTCACAAGTACGCGCAGAAGCACGGGCTGGATGTGGAAAGTTACAATGCGCTGAAGCAGCGACAGAATGAAATCGAGGCTGAGTTGAGGCGGCTGCGGGACCCGCTGCAGCTCAAGCTGCCGCCGCGGGCGCTTGAGGCGCCGCTGCCGCCGGGCTTCCCCGCCGACATTTTGTCGCCTGTACGACGAGAAATGCTTCAGTCTTCCCGTGACGTCAAGAAAGTGTCAAGTTAGGCGAGTGCTGTCCTTGATATTTCACGACCTTCGTTTCCCCCCCTTCTTGTTTCGTTTCAGTTCAGATCCCTTTGACGCTAAATACTGTATCCTCCTATTGAAGGAACGAACAATTGATGCGTTTTTCTAAGCACCTCGGCATTTTCGAAGACAGTTTATGTGTAAAATGCTTGAGTATCGTATTTCCCCTCATTCTCGCTTGTGCATTGGGCGCTGGCGGGAGTTGCCTTGGCATGTTTTTGTTTTTCTACCAGAGAATCGTCGAAATTTTGTTATTTTTTTAATCTTCCCACGAAAGCATAGACTATTCAGTCGGGAAGTTGTCTGTTATTCAGAATTCGACGGAAGCATTCTGTCTTTCGAGCTTAAACTGGTTTGAAAATTCGATTGCGCTAAAGAGCTGTTTATTGTGATAAACATGACCGAGTGGATGGAAATTTTCCACTGCATTGCACAATTCCGCATCCAGATTTTCTGCCTTGAAAAAAAAAAAAAATTAAAGCCCAATATCGCTCGCTGACTCACAAATCCAGTGCTGTATGTGTGATGGCCGGTATGCAAAAATGCGCTGTGGGGGGAGAAATTCATGATCCGGACGACTTTTTCTGCGTTTTTCATCTGCAAGGAATAACTTATTACTTTTCAAAAATGCGTCGCGGAATTTACTGTCGAATCTTAATTGTTACTGATTCACATTGTTTACTCCTGATTTTGTGGGGTGTGCTTCCGCATTGCTGAAGTAGAATGAGGATGGATGGGGTTCCTGTTCAAACTTTTTTTGATGATTCGCTGCCTATTTGGGGGCGGGCATTTTAGCCCAAGATTTGAAACACACCTTGAAATACTGTCCTTTTTTCGCTGCACCCTGATTATTTTGGTCAACCTGTATTTACAGGTTAATGAAGCGCGAACAATCCGCGCGCTGCTACGTGTAAAGCGATGAATAAAACTCTCCATGCGTTCTTTTGGTCTTTATTTTTCTGTCGCGTTTCGTAAGTTTTGAGTCGGGGCTAAATGGTCCTTATTGAGATTTGTACTCTTAAGACGGATCGTGTGAAGGGGACGATGGTGTGTGGAAGCTCACGCGTTCCTATGAGATTCCCATCAAGTCAGTTAGTCTTTCAATATGATGAAAATGTGTGATTGTCTCGTCTTGTTTTGTAGTCCCTCTTGTTATTGCGTATAAACTTGAAAGTGAGGGTTCAATATCATATGTATGCAGCAGAAGGAAACCGAAGATCACGCAGCAAAGTCATCAGATTCTCTGTGATGTCCTTTGTTTTTTGTTATTTCAACTTTTTGTGTAGATTTCGGACGACCTTATGATTTCGAAAGTTTTGTTCGATTTTTTTTTTCTTGCTTGAATTCGTGCCTGTGTTCGTGGGAGTGTTACCGATGTGCGGTGGGGAGGCCGTCGCGAGGCAGGAGTTCTGTGTGAAATGTCGCATCTGTTTTTCCCGCGGGGAACATTCTTTTAGCTGAGCTTCATCGGAGGTTTGGGGAATCTCTTTGTCCATAAGTTGTTGCTCAACGCCTTCGGTGGAATGAGGAAAGAAGGAAGAAAGAAAATATGGTGCTGTTCCTCTTTTGTATAAATGAGTCGGATGCTGCTTTTTCGTCGTTAACCGTATTCTCAGCAGGAATCGAATTTTTTTTTCTTCACTTGACTTGATAGTTTCGAGCGGTGACGAATGAATCGAACTTGTATGTTATAATGGATGGAATCATTGAATGAATGGTGATGCGAGAAGTGTGTGGGAGTGGGTGAGACTCATTGTTCTGAGTATATTTCGAAGACAGTCCGCAGTACGTGTGAAAATGTGCCGCTGAGTGTGTGCGGTCGTCACCCGATGGACGCGCACGAGAACGTGCGGATCCTGCCCAAGTTTCACGAAGGCCAGGAAGTGCTGTGCAGGGACATAAACTCGTCTCTGTTGTACGATGTTCGCGTGCTGCTCGGCAAGTACCGACGCGGCCGTTTCGAGTACTACATTCACTACAAGTACTACATTCACTACAAGTACTGGAAGAAGTCGTGAGTCGTCGAGTCCGCTGTTTTTTTGTTTTTTGTTTTCAAAATCAAACGCGAAGCTTCAATCTTCTGACGATGGTTTGTTCCCCATCCCTCCCATGCTTTCAGGTGGGACGCATGGGTCACAGCGGACCGATTGTTGGAACGAAGCAAGGAAAACTTGTCACAGCAGCGGTTCCTTTCGGGAAGCATCCAAGTCCGTAAGTTTGGGATAGAAAAATTGAATCCGACGTCATCTTGTTCAAGTACTGTACAGTGCTGTAGTTTGTTTCACCAAAAGAACAGTTGCGCCGAGTCGAAACGGAAAGTATTCATTTTTCATGCGCCGCGTCACTGAAATGAATATACAGTACTATCCCCAACGAAAATGACTACTTATTTTAGATCAACGCCCATAATTTTTATTCATTTATTTATTTTCAGGAAGGTGGAGTTGTTCTCGAAAAAATGCCTGAACAAGTCGTCGAAGGACCCGGTCAATGACGGTTCAGACGAGAAAAGCTCGCAGTCATCGTCGTCGGCCGACGAGGCTGGGACGGAACGGACGGCGCGAGACGAGTCCGAGGAAACGGTGGCAGAAGGCGAATGTCCAGCGAGATCCATGTCTGCGTCGCCGGCCAAGGACGCCGGCGACTGTCGTCGTACCCCGCACATATCCGTGTTGCAGCTCAAGTCCTTCGACCCCGGAGAATCAGCGCGAACGAAGTCTATCGCCGAGGAGCGACGCGAGTTTCAGCAGCTCCACAACATCCCGCGATGTTGTTGGCAAGCTTCGTCCAAGGTTGGACCGTAAGCTTCCGAGTAAGTTTCATATTGATTTGAGTGAAGAACGCGGTGATTCGTGTACCGTACTTGAACACTCGCGATAAGAAAAAAGGAAAAAATCACCGCGATCCCGTGGCAAGTTTTGTTTGTTTGCATGCTCTTTGGAGGAAGATAAAGTGTACAGTGCTTCACTGAAAAGTTTCATGGGACCCCTGAAGCGATTTGCGTTCTGGCTTGATAATCATGGAATTATGGGTTCGGTGGGTATTTATTGTAACTGTATCTGATTTTCCGATCAAGTAACTTGGTTGAATGGCTTACGAAAGGGGCAAATGCACGGTGTCCCGTTTTCTTTTGCAGTCAGTCATACATTGTTGATGGAGATGATACAGTACTGTTTTCTCCTTGCGCATTAAAAGGACGAACAATTGTGTTCGATTTATATATCTGCGAGAGTTCATTGTGTTCTCTGTTATTACAGTATTATTTTTTTCAAGTAACGAAGTAATAACCCTGATGTTCTTTAATTTCTCGGTCCAATGCTGTTCGAATTTTGTGGGTACTGTACTGTGCGGATCCACTATCAATTCGTATGCATTTGTTGGCTTTTTTTTTCGTACTAAGGAAGAGGACGAGTGCTCGTGTCCCCTGGGGCTCATCTTTCCCCGTAAGCTCAAAGAAGTGCTGTATGACGACTGGGAAGAAGTTCGTCTTGAAGTTATGGTAAGAACGAGAATGGGTGTATGAAGCCCTATTATTCACTCGCCGTTATTTTCTTTTTTGTTACTTCATTTTGCGACAGTTACCTCTGGGTGAGCCAGCAGCGACCATCGAAGAGATCTTGAAGCAGTTCGAGCTCTCGAAACTCTCCACTTTGAAGAGAGGAACTCAGGAATGGTAAGTTGAACCTTTTTTTTTGTTGTTCTCTTGATTGAATTAATGCGCTGAAATTTACATGTGTTTTGCCCCACTTGTTCAGGTTCGAGATGCGAAGTTATTTAGCTGTGATCTTGGAGATAATCGACGGTATTTATGCGATACAGTTTTTGTGTTAATTTGAGAGGCCAATGCACACCCAGGTACGTGGCAGGATTGCCAAATTTTCAACGCACGATTTTGAATTCGTCTCCCTCCTACATTCTTTGGCACAGGAAACATTTCAGCCCTCTTCGACTTATTTTGTTTACCCATTTTACAAATTCCACCTTGACACCTTTCTGCCCTTTACTCAAAATATCAGTCGCCCATGTGGCAATTTTTGGTATAACGCAGTTTCTCTTTATTTAAATCAACATTGCATTAATTTCAAGGGTTGCCTGTAACCTCTTCCGATGTCATTTGGCCGTTTGTATCTGAACGCACCTTCGCAGGATCGCAGCCACCACATTCCCATCACGGGGACCATTCTTGTGCGTCCCTCACGCTGCTTCTCTGTGACCAGGGACTTGGAGCAGGGTTAACGAAAAATTTGCTCTACCCTCCACTCCAGACACAATCACCTACTCCGGGCTGGTGCTCTGCTTCAGTGCTCCAGAACTCCGGACACTTTTCAGAACCAATGACTAGTAAAGTAAAATTCCATAATGATCTTGTTATGACAATTTTTTTATGCAATAACAATTTTTTCTTGGTCTCAGCAATTGTTCCATAGGAACAGTGCCATGACAATTTGACTTTTTTACGAACTAATTTTCATCAATAATTTCATTATATATAATTTTTGCTTTGATTATATGTGTGCTGTACATGCAATAAGAATTTTCAATAATTGGCAAACAACTGGAAAATCTGACTTCAATGTAATAAAAAAAATCAAAATGTACAATTTCTAATTTTCATGAATTTATATTTAGCTATGATATAGGTGGTGACCCATCTGGGCCTCTCACCTATATTAAAGATGTTTTCTAAAAAATTACCTAAAAAAAGTTTCCTGGTCCCCTGAATTTTGTTGCATATACAGTACTGTACCAGTGTTCCCCAACCCATGGTCCACAGACCAGTGCAAATTTGCAGAATTTTTTTGCTGATCTGTGGGAGATTTGCATCAGCATAATTAATTGAAGATCATCAATAATTTCATGCAGGAGGTTTTCCTCAGCATAATAAATCGAAAGGAGCCATGAAGTTGGTTATGTAATGGTGACCTAGAAGCTTGTTGATGTTGGTTTTATAGCGACACCTATGTTATACTTCATAACGTACAGAGTTCGAGCATCCCCTGTGCCTATCTGTCGGATACTCCGCTGTGTGAGGATTCCATGAGGAAGCTGCAATCGGAATTCAATTGTGTACGGGTCCAGTCTTCAGCGACGCCCTTGGTTGTTTGGGGCGGTATTTCCCGTGTAGAAGTATTTTCTGACTTCATATCGTATATGCATGTTGCGATGTGTATTCGTATCGTTGAGGTTTTCGATTTTCTCGACCGGTTCCTGTCCATAACATCAGCCGAGATCTGATTAGTGATTATGTGAATGTCCACCTGTGGTGAGCGCGACGAAGTTTCAGTTGAGATAATTTCAGATATTCTTGTTGGTTGTTGCGACTCGAAAAATATTTGTATGCGTTTTCTGTTTCAGGATATCTGATTACCTGTGTTCACTTCTCCGTCTTGGTTGGAAAGTGTTCTGCGTAGACTATGGCAGTAGAGTGTCGTGTTATGTCTGTGGCACGCGTTGTGAATACTGTACTTGAATACGTCCTGGCGACAGTTGCGCGTATTTCGCCGGAGGGATGTGGACAGTGTTCTCGCAACGACTATTCACTCACGTCGACATCATCCATGATCAGGTGGAACGACGCTGCTTTTTGGTAACGTAAACAACAATAAGAATTCTCGGCACTTGTACACGAGAGGTGACCCAAACGGGGAAACTGATGTTGAAAGTTGATAAATGGTGCTAACATCTAGTTTTGATTGGTCTGTTTGAGGCGCTCCTATTGTGCTCTATGCATTTTGACAAATGTTATTGGCCATGAACATGGTTTTTTGTTACCGTAATATGTTTCATTGTGTAGACCACTAGGCAAATAAGTAACGTTTGAGCAGCAACATGAAGAATTTTTTGAAAAACTGCAGTGAAATGCTGAAAATTAGATACAGTATAGAATCAAGTTTCTATGATGAATTTTGAATTTATCCCCTTGCGCAATGGCGTATGTCATTCATAGAACACCACCTCTTGACAAGAATCCTTTCAACAAAATTTAAATTGACATTTCGTTGTTCTTGTCCTGTTCCAGAAATCCATTGTGCTCTGGTATAACAACGTTTTGCAATAAATCTAAAAATATTGTTGTGCCTATCACCGTGAAGCTATAGTTGTACAGTTTATTTCAAAAACTATAGTGGGCCATGTGTAAAACATCTAACTGGGACTGTGAACAGGGATTTGATGCCTTGATGAACTTATGCCTACAAATAAAGAGAAAAACTCAGGAAACCCCGAGTGTTTGCTGGGAGATGACCCTTATTTTCTTTTGTAGAAATGTGGTGCCAATGAACTTTTGGGATTGTAAGGCAGTTATTCTTGGTATTAGTTCCTCAGTGTAAAAAGTTGTTTTTTTTACAGGACTGTTCTGTAATTGGTTTGTTGCAACACGAGAGAGTGGTGGCCATTAGCCACTGTGGCAGATCACAGCAACAATGCTGGATCATCGGTTTATTTTGCTAAGGACAGTTGTCTCTTGTGCAGCTTACTTAAATTCTGGTTAGTCTTTTTCAGGTGACAATAATTAGCAAAAAAACACCATTTCCTTAATGGTGGACTCTCGAGATTGCTCTTGTCTAACAAATTTGTTCTTCTGTATCAACATTTTTGGTTCCATGGGGTTTTTTGTTGACAAGAGACACCACAAAACAAGATGAAGATGCAATTTTTGTACCCAATTGTATTTGGAAGCAAAACATGTGATCAGTCTCGGGCATGGGCTGGGAATTCTTGGTAGAATTCCCTGACTAAATATTAATGTACGTTTTTATTTTGTTCAAAACAGAATTAAACCTAAAACACGAGAGAAAATAATCAAACAGCAAAATCTTTCAGTAAGCTTTGTCCGACGACAACCATTTTTTTAAACAGCTGAAGACAGAATTACAGTATGATGATTATGGGAATGAAAGGGTTTCTATTAATTCACTGTATTGTTTTGCCTTGATCCAGCAGTACTGTATTGTGATCACGGGAAAAACAATTTTTTGAGGCTTGGGAATGGTCAGGAAATCAAAGTCGATAACACACTATGTGCCCAAAGGAAGCCTGAAAGTCTGGTGAGGGTAAAGTTCTGCCCGGTTGTGATGGACTTTTTTCCTTAGGTGGTTTTTCCACCCTATCAATTTGTGCCTCAGTTAATGAGGCTTGCTGCAGTTCCCCGACAGGATTCTTAACCCATGTTGAAGGGGTTCTCTAAAATGAAATCCTCTACAACAGCTAATTTTTGCCTTGAATTTTGGTATACTGTACTGTATAGAGAGAGTCCGCTGTATTAAATTTGCTTTTGGACTGATTGACCTTTGTGAGTCTTCTGACTCAACTGGGTGTTGCTGGAATTGTGCTACAGTGATGTTGGTTCAGTATTTTCTACTGTAAGGGTGCCTACAGACATTATCTCGGGATTTTTTCTTATGGATTATCTTAACTTTGTCCTCATGTTGTGGCTTGTGTATGTTGACAGACGATCAGTGAGCCTGCGTGAAGCTGTGGCAAAATTTCCTCGGTTTCTGGTTTCGATCGGCAATTAAACGCATGTTTCCCCGTGTATAACCCACTGACACACCCCCAATACCTTTTTGGGCTTTCTTGACTAACATTCATCATGAACTATGGACCACCTCCGGGTGGAGTTAGTGGCTTGTCCTTCGACAAGTACATTGAAAGTCAAACTTACGGCGATGCTTCGACCCTCGAGAAATTCCAGCATCAGTTTTACGTCGCCAAAGAATCCGTGACTCGGAAACTCAATCGGAACAAGAGCAACAAGGATGTGACTGCCTCGGATTCCGAACTCGACATGAAGCTAGAACTCTTCCGAAGCATTCAAGCGTCGTCTGGAGAGCTCCACAAGGCTGTTCTTTTGTATCAACAAACGATTTGCCACCTGGCTCAGGCTCAGAACTCACTCGGTATGTTTTTGAAAGAAGTGGGAAAATCAGAAAAAGCGTACCCCGGGAAAGTGATGTTCTCTGTTGGGAAAGTCATGTCGTACTCGGCTTACTACGCATTGGCGATAAAAGAGCCGATGGATCGATTGCAGCAAGAAATAGAGACTTACCGGTTGCGTGCGGTCCAAGATTGCTTGTGCACGGTGCAGAAAAGTGAGAGGAATCGTCAAGAATACCGCGGAATGCTGATTTGGATGAAGGAAGTGTCTGAGGAGTTGAATCCTGATGCCTACAAGCAACTGGAGAAGTTTCGAAAGGTCCAGCATCAAGTTCGGTCGAGCAAAGAACGCTTTGACAGGGACAAACTCAATTGCATGCAGAAAATCGACTTGCTCGCTGCGTCGCGATGCAACATGTTCTCGCACGCGTTGAAACAATATCAAGAAAATGTCACCACTTACTGGCACAAGACAGACAAAGCCTGCGAAACTGCGTTGACTGCAATCGATACCAATAACTTTGCAAAACGGCACTTGGACTCCGCAGAGGGCGCCGATTCGAGCATTTCTTTGGACTTGGAGAAAAGTTCGAACGTGACGCTGAACGATGAGAAATCTCTCGTGGATGTTGAGCTTCCTACTGATGCGGAGCTGAAACAGGATCTTCTCGGTGAGCTTGAGATGGCGAAAGAAGCCACCGAGGACTTGGAAGAGCTGTTCAAAAAGTTTTCCGAGACTGGGTTAGGTGAGTCTGGTGCGGATTCCCAGCTTGATGATGTTTTCAGCATGAACAAACCAACTGTAATCGGGGCTTGCAATCACGAACCTTCTGATGACCTTCACTCAATCTTTGAGACAAATCCCGGCGATCTGCTCACTGGCCATGACGGGATGACGAGTGGCTTCTTGCCTAGTCAGCTCTTGGAGCAGAATAAGACGGATCCTATGGATTGGATGAGCCAAAGACTCAATCCAGACGTGAAACCGGAATCGAAACCCACGTCCTGGTTGAATGCTTTTGCCGATCTCGATCCACTCGGGAAAGAATCCGCAAGTATTCTTGGCGAACAGGCTTGAACGCGTGTTTGTTGCGTTTCTTAATCCCATCTTTCTTTCTTTTATTTTCTGTGCCCTCTAGTCAGAATGTGGAAGATTTTGTCCAAGTGTCTCGACTGTCGTGATACTAACGCATGTGACGCCGTGCTTTGCATTTTGCGGTGCTTCCCCCGATTTTGTTGTTGTTGATTTATCCCGAAGTGTTCTAATAAACCTGGTGATGGTGGCAACTAACGCATTACCATTCGCACTTGTGTGTTCTACGAATTTGTGTGCTGGTGCATGTGACGAGTGATTCATATTTCCGTTTCCTCAGGGTGTTGAAACGAGGTGACGCGAGAAAGTTGTCGTACGCGAGTTTCAAGGTATTTTCTGATGCTCGGATGGGTTTTAACTTAGGAACATTTATGTAATGTCAGATTTTGGTGAATAAAGTTGCCAATACGGCTTTTTGCACCTCTGAAAACTAGGCTTAGTTTTGTATGGTGTGTCTTTGACTGTGTGCGAGGAGGTAAATATCAAGAGTCGCTGTGTCGAGATTATTAAATGAATGGGATTTAGTGCTGGTCGCTGGATTTTGCAGGCAAATATGAAGAATTTTGCAGCGATATCCAGGCAGTGTTTTTAAACATTTTGTGCATATCCCCCTTCGAAGGCTATTTTTGAAAGACGATGAGGCTTTTGATTTTTGCTTTGTTTATTTCAGGTACAGTATCTTCTTAATACAGTATATTATTTTTGTGTGTGCCAGAGCTGCGTTTTTTGTTCCGTTTATGACATGAGGCCAGGTAAGTCTATTTAAAATTGGATTCGTTCAAGTGGAAAAGATAAAATGTATGTATTTCACAGGGTTCACACCGAGAGGTGGGTTTGGGGACCGAGGCGGCGGCGGTCGCGGGGGATTCGGCAGAGGCGGTGGTCGAGGTGGCGGCGGACGAGGTGGTTTTGGCCGCGGTGGCGGCGGTGACCGTGGTGGCTTCCGAGGACGAGGTGGCGGTGGTGGTAGAGGGACTCCACGAGGTCGTGGCGGAAGAGGTGAGTTAATAGTACTGTACCTTGACAAAAGATGCGCCACTTGATCCACGAGAGGGGGGATTTACAAGTCGAATTTCAGTTGTATTTATTAATCTCTATTGACTGAAATGTGTATGCATGAACTCTGATCATTCAGATTTATGTGAATCTCGCTTGACCAGTACTTTTTGAATTTTTTTTTTTACATATTTTGCAATTGGAGAAAATAAAACTGTAGTAGCAAGTCGTCTCTGAATTTTTGAATTATGAGTGCAAATATCTGCGGAATTCGGATACAGTACCCTGACGATAACTGTGATCAGGAGGTGGTTTTGGAGCTGGGAGAAATGTGGTGGTGGAACCACATCGGCATCCCGGAGTATTCATCGCCAAGGGCAAGGAACAGGCATTGCTCACTCGCAACATTGTG